CTAATGTATTCATCCTCTTTTCTTGTTGCCCTTTACTTCTCCCATTAACATTGTCAAACCACCATCAGACCATGGAAGTGTTCTCATTGTCGTCAGTACCCTCAAATTCAGCCCTGCTCACCACAGCATAACGCTTTCCCTTGGATCGACTTTTCTTACATGCTCAGTGGCCTACTCTGCATACAGCCTCAAACATTCACTTAAGCTTTGGAGGCTGTGCTAAGACTTGTCTCAACAATCGAGGAATTTATACTTTTTCATTGTTGGGCTCACTTCCATTTCGAGTGAAAGTGTTTGGTGAAGAGATTCTACTTTTCGTATATAAGTAAAGTTTGGAGATTACATCACATATAAGAGATTATATTGTCGATCCCACCCGAATATGATGGCGTACTCCTCTTGAGCAGCAATCGAATGGATAATTCGTATTGAAGATGCTTCAGAAGCAATCTCTGATTCCGGAGAAGATGTACTAAGCGTTTGTTCGTCCTATGACGGATATCGTCAGAGCAACGTATCATCCTTACAATCATAGTCAAACTAACTGGTCAAGGAAAGTTTTATACTTATCTCTGCACCGAACCGTTTCACTCAAAATGGAAATGAGCTCAGTAATTAGTAATAAATCTTCCGGTACATTTGGTTGATGTAGCCGATAACTCGCCTTCTTTTTTGAGTAATATTTATTTAAAACTTTAGCATTATTTTTGCCGCGTTGTTATCGCCTCACATAATAAGGAGAGATAGGCAATGAATTATGGCTCACTGCTAGTCTGAACATTTACAGTTTTGAGCTGAATTACATTTTCCTCTGAATTTATGAGCCGCCTTGACCAATTTACATCTTTAAATAGATTGCACCTATCAAGAATCTTCAATATTTATCATTTATTTAGATAGGTGGCATAAATCAACATCTTTCTGCAGATCTTAGTCTCACAACAATCACAGACATCATTAGCACAATTTAAATTAGCCATGTTAAATGAAAATATTCTAATGAGCCTGAGACAAGAATATTTTATATTCGTATGGCTAATAGAGATTTGTTCATTTCTACAATATTTCTTACTGACTACGATTTACGTCTCTGAGATACATAAATGAAGCTCTGTCTACGATGTTCACCAGCTTTGTAATCTGACTACCTGAAGGCATTGATACGCACCACATCGTACTGGTACCTGATGGAACTGGAGACGAATATAATAGCACAAATAGCTCTTATCTTACCAAAAATTATATAAGGCAATGTTTCGAAGATAATTTGTGTGTACCACTGTCGACGTTCACACCAAACGAAAGTTGATAACGTGATCACAATCACTTCTATGTGTGAATATATCAGCTTCCGATTGGTTGCTGACCTTTGTCAAACCGTATGAGGTTGACGAGGCTGTGATTGATTGACTAATCACAGTAAAGTAGCTGGGATATTTGTTCTTTGAATGCTGCCTTTGATAGTAGAGTAAAAGTTTTGGGAATTTGAAGTGATGTCGAGTAAGGAGACTAATCAGAGCAGTGAGAACGAATTGAGACGAGTGACCTTATGCTGAGGCCTGACATTTAGAAAATTTGGCTTGGAGTCCGTGCCGACCATGTCGCCACTAATTGACTGCACCCTACATAGAGTACCCGAAGAATAGCGTCATGGCAGCTTGGATTATGGACTTTTTCCAGACAAGCTGATAGATCTTTGCATATACCACTTTGAATTATGCTGATAATTAGTTTAAGAAAATTTGGCAAAGCGTCGCCATGTGCAATTAATTTTAATCACGTGGGCTGTTTGATAATTAATTACGTTTTTTGCGTGGTGTTACCATCTTACTGTGGAAGAATAAGAGTAGTAGAGGTAAAAACGGAGAATTGAGGATGACACTGTATAAGTCTTAACATTGAGCAAAGTCAGAGTAGATAACTGCTTATGTTGCCAAAGGATTATTTACGACTGGAGCCGATTTCACATACCAGTTTGACCAAGAACGTGATAATTCTACTAGGTTTAATGCTGTTTTAAACCTTATTAGTATTTATGTGAAGCAGTAAATAAATTTTAATAATATTTACACTGTAAAGTTTGGATGAACAGAAAACATGTGTAAATAGTGCAGATAAGTCTCCAGATCAAATTTTTAGGGTATCCTTTGAAAAATATACCGACTTATGTAGATAGTACTATTTTTCTTGAAAGTCATAGCAAGTCTGACAGTTATCCGAGATCTACCAGTTTTAATTGGCTTCTTAGTTGAATAATACCCAGACTCCCAACGTCGATTTGGATCAGTGGAATATGAAACGGTCAAAGCTGGTGTGCTTAGACAGCCACAGCCACCCACTAGATTCTAAATAAACCGGTCACTAGCTACTTAAATAAGTAGTTGCAAAGTCGTAAAGCCTATAGTCATAAATTGATTTGATTTCCAAGCGGTTTACCTTGTCTTGCAATTACTGCACGTCACTTATCAGCATAGGGCAAAGTATTTGCCGGTTAAACTGCACGTCCACCATGTGAAGCACTCTGTGTGTTTCAACGAGGTCAAGGTGCGGCATAGCATACATCCCAACCTCGATGATAAAGTACCTGCTAGCATCAAAAAGTTAAATTTAATGCAAAAATCAAGCCAGACTGGCTATTTGTTTACTTAAGAGTCAATAAATTCTGATATACTCCGAGTAAATAAACTTAATAGGCTGAGATACAAAAAAACGAAATTTTTAAAAATGAGTAAATTGCTCATTGTCGGATGAAAGAGAAGATAAGGGATATAAATGCAAGGTTAGCAAGTTTAGCTTTTGTTTATCAAGCGTTTACTCAGATCTTCTGCAGAGGCTATACTTCGTATTGTCGAATTCACGAATGATTGGGCTCTTTAAGATTTTGGTCATCGACACAAAGAGGGAGATTTTAAAATTTCATAGCTTTTGATAGAATATTTAAGTATTCTAAAGGCTACCTCTTGCTTACCCTCTGTAAGATCAATTTTCCTTACTAGGTTCAATCTGTGTTCTGGCTGGTCACTTGGGTCTGCCACCGGAAGCTTCAAAACCTATCACATAGGAAACCTTATTGTTTTAGATTTTGCAGTGACCATGTCAACTACGCGACGAGCTTCTGCCACAATTTATTTAAAATGTTTGATTTAAAACTATGAGAAAATCTTTAATAGAAGCTTAATCACCCTAGGTCAAGTAATGCGATTTCTAGATTTATACTTCTTATTAGCATCAAAGTGATACTTCCAACTTTAACCCCCTGTCTACGATTTGGTACGAAGTATCTACCCAACTTATTACATTCTTTTCTCACCAAGACACTCATAAATACTGGCTTATGCCCCGTTTATGATTCCATAGCAGGTTTAATGATGCCATATAATTTATTCAGTAGCTCAAGCCATCCTTCCAAATTATGTTTGTAGTGTTCCCAAACAGCAAAATAATCGTCCACACACCCTACTAATAACTTTGGAACTGGTAGTACCTTCAAAACAATTGAACCTCTAATTTAGCGATGTAGTTATTAGTTTAAATAGGGACCAGACAAGGTCCAGTTGCTTAGCAAAATATGTACTAGAATGATTAAGCTAATGATTGAATCTTTGCACAACTTTTTACTCATTATGATCTCTATTCTTTGATCCAGAGTCTAACCTAGAACCGGAGTCACCCCTTATATCGTTTTGTTAATGAATGTGGACACTATATTGAAACTTAAAAGCATATCGAAGATATTAAGTCCAAGATGTTGTGGCCTCTGTTATGGTCGCAATCTCCTTTCGATTTATAGAATTGGGTTGACCTCGTTGTCGCAACTTGGTCATGTTGTCAGGAGGACTACTTCGGACTAGGTGCGTTCTACCTAGTCCCCCTGACAACAAGACCAAGTTGCGACAACGAGGTCAACCCACGTCTAATTTTTTAACTTTGCAGAAACAATTAGTCGTATGAGATGACGGAAACCTGATAGCTGTATTTTGGACAATAATACGAGAAGGCCTCACATTTTCATTGAATGTAACTTGTATTGCTTCTAATATTGTTTTCCTATCCACTTCTAAGTTTGGGGCAATGGTAAAATGCCGAAAATATACGCTGCAATATGTGGGTTCGATTACCTCAAGGGATAGTGATGAAGCCAAGGCGATGTCGAAGCTTCAGAACACCGAATATATTTGAATACATTTTGTAAAAAGGCATGTTAAATTATAGGGTATCATGAAGCATATTCATTTCATTAGAGGAAAAATTCACTTAGTATAACAGAATCTGGGCGACTAAAGATCTGACTAAGTAATTAAAAAATATATTTAAATCAAGGAACAAGATAAAAAAACTGCTTGAAATAGGTTGTCACAAATCGACCTCGGATTAAGCTCATTTTTAGGCAACATGACTTCAAACTGACATAAAAAGAATAAAATATTTAAGTAAAATCGCTTTTTTGATGGTAATCTAAATGCAATTTTGCTTCTACCTTTTCATAATGCATCAGCCCTTCACAAATTTCGTGCACATTTACCACAAGCTATCGCATAATGATGATCAGATTTGTGGTCTCTTCAATCCTGATTATTGCCTCGAGCGTATTTGCTGATATCAAGCTGCAAGAAAACGTAGAGCTGACCCCCGAAGAGTACGTGAATGAGAGTCTTAGAGATTGGGATGCTCTGCTAAGACTGAATGCCATGCAGTCCAGTGCCAATCTGCGATCCTTGGGTCGGAAATGCCATCAACAAATGCACCCTCAGGCGAGCAAATGGAGAAAAGACCAATATAGGTCCCTTCGGAATGTCTTCCCTGCCTTCACGGACAGCAACTTCCGCAGCT